AATGCTGACCGCGCGCTCCCCGCTCTCCGTGAAGAACGAGCAGTCCCTCAGCGGGCAGCTGGACAAAATGTCTCTGGACAAAGAGAACACGGTGAGGCTGCTTCAGGTTCCCGCTCACAGAGGCCGCCGATTCTCTAAGGTCACCGAACAATTACAGGTATCGATAAAGAGTCGCTGTGTGTGCTGACGCTCTGTGTCTCCTTTCAGCCTCCGGGCCCGAACAGCAGCCGCATCCTGGCGTCCAAAACCGCGCGGAGGATCTTCGACGCTGCTGCGGTAAGTGAGAGAAAAGCTGCAGGAAGCTTCGCACTTTTAGCGGATTCCTCATATCAGCGGACCGAGTCGATGCTGAGCTCACTGACGGCAGCTTCGTGTGTGTTACTGTGCAGATGTGACGCCTAAACTGTGGCCGTGGCGCCAACAGTTAGCGGCTGAGCTTGAGGTCGGTTCAGGGTTCTAGTTTATTAGGAACAGCTGCTGTGGTGTTCAGGTTTCATGCCGTTTCTGTTATTTTGTCCACCACCTTCAGATCAGTGAACGATACAGGCAGCAAGTCTGCACAAACTTTAACTTTTCACTGTGTTTGCTCCAGAATCGATGAATAAGCTGATCAATAATCCTGAGCAATGATCTTTGTCTTCAGCCCAAAGTGAAAAAGAGCAGCAGCTCGCAGGAAGAGGAGCCTCTGCTGAAGGACAACCCTCGCCGCTTCGTCATCTTCCCCATCGAGTACCACGATATCTGGCAGATGTACAAGAAGGCAGAGGCGTCCTTTTGGACGGCAGAGGAGGTGGGTGGAGCTGCTGTAATGGGGCGGGGCTAGATGCTGACCTCGGTGATACTGACGTGTTCTCTCTGCAGGTGGATCTGTCCAAGGACCTGCAGCACTGGGATGCCATGAAGGACGAAGAGCGCTACTTCATCTCCCACGTGTTGGCCTTCTTCGCCGCCAGCGACGGCATCGTCAACGAGAACCTGGTGAGACGCTGCGCCTGCTCTTACAGATCGTTTTGAGGTCACGGACCGCTGTAACGTTCTTGTTGTCGCTCTTTGACCAACAGGTGGAGCGCTTCATGCAGGAAGTGCAGGTGACGGAGGCCCGGTGTTTCTACGGTTTTCAGATCGCCATGGAGAACATCCACTCAGAGATGTACAGCCTGCTGATCGACACGTACATCAAGGACCCCAAAGAGAGGTACGCAGGAGGCGGGCCAAATACTGTTCTGTAGTGGCTTAACTGGCCTGTACTGATCTAACTGGTGAGTGACGATGTGTTCCCGCCCTCAGAGAGTACCTGTTTAATGCCATCGAGACGCTGCCGTGCGTGAAGAAGAAGGCCGACTGGGCGCTCAACTGGATCGGCAACAAGAACGCCACCTATGGTAAATAAGCTGCTGCCCATTAGGCCACCTGACTCAATGGCTCCACCTCAAGCAGCTTTATTGATTATTGTCTGTTTATTGATCTGCAGGGGAGCGCGTGGTGGCCTTTGCCGCTGTGGAGGGGATCTTCTTCTCGGGCTCGTTCGCCGCCATCTTCTGGCTGAAGAAGAGAGGCCTGATGCCCGGCCTGACCTTCTCCAACGAGCTCATCAGCAGAGACGAGGTGAGGCGCCCTGTTGCTGTCGGATCGCAGGTATTGATCCAGTGATGATGTCACTCTTAACGTGTGTGTTTGTGCGCCTGCTGCGTTTAGGGTCTGCACTGTGACTTTGCCTGTCTGATGTTCAAACACCTGGTGAACAAACCGCCCAAGGAAACCGTCATCAGCATCATCAAGAACGCCGTGGAGATCGAGCAGGTGAGTCCCAGCTTCACCTGCAGCTGCTCTGCTGGGCCCACTGGTTCATGGTGGATTTACTGGTTCAGGATGGCTTTAATGGGTTTATTGGTTTGTGTGCAGGAGTTCCTGACTGACGCTCTGCCCGTCAAGCTCATCGGGATGAACTGCGACATGATGAAACGGTACATCGAGTTCGTGGCCGACAGACTGTTGCTGGAGCTCGGCTTCTCCAAGGTAACGCCCCACACAGGTCATGTGATCGATCATGTGACTGACTTAAAGGCAGAAAAACAGCATCACAAAACATCCGCACTCATCTAAGTCACAAGCTAAACTTTTAAAATAAAAAATGATCAGTTCTCCACACAGACACATTTTAGGAACTCTTTGATCTCAGAGAGCGACATGAGGAAGGTGATGGTGTGAGTGATGATGAAGTGCGCAGGGGTACGGACCTCAGCCGGTGATGGGGGCTGAGTGCTGCTGCAGAGTCTGATCAGAGGACGAGTGGTTCTCTGACGGACAGCGGCAGTGCGACACAGACGCCTATCTGAACTCGCCCAGGGGTGGGGGCGGGTGACCTCAGGGTGGGGGCAGTGGGTGGAGCTGACTGACATGGTGTTTCTGTGTGCAGATCTACCGGGTGGAGAACCCTTTTGACTTCATGGAGAACATCTCCCTGGAGGGAAAGACCAACTTCTTTGAGAAGCGGGTGGGCGAGTACCAGAGGATGGGCGTGATGGCGACGCCCACGGACAACACCTTCCGGTTGGACGCTGACTTCTGAGGCGGGGGCTGCTCTTTGGACTTCAGCTAGTTGGATTGCAGGCAGGACTGCAGTCGGGTTCAAACGTTTGTTGTTTTTTTTTTCTTTCTTTTTGTACATAGACTTTGTAGAGTTTTTATTAAGTCTTATTATAGTTTTAAATATGTACATTTTTGTAATAAAGCAACTGTTTGTAAAAAGCATCGACTCTTCAGTTTCACATCTGTAACATCTTTCTAAATCACTGTAATCCCATCATTTCAGGCCAGACAAGGCTGGAAGTGAGTGACTTGCACTGGACAGCCTAGCCAATGACGTGCTGCTGCTGTCACAGTTGCAGGTGTGTTGTACAGAAATGAAGATCATCTCCATTTCTGTACAACTCATCTGATCTGAATTAACTCTGAGGCTGAGCAACCACAGCTGTGTATAAATAGACTGTTGGGCTTGTTTAGTCTTAAACAAGTTTTCTGAGAATCTACAAAAATTTCAGTGTCCCCGAAGTTTTTACCCATCATGGTTGCAGCCTCCTGAAATGAAGACAATGGATGATCAGTTGTTCCACTAACTTATCTGCACAAGGAGTTTGTAGAGGGAACAACAGCCATGGCAGTTTGTCCTAAAACAACAACGGTAATCTGAACATTTAAATATTTCAGATTTTATTCTCAAAAATGATCAATATTTTATTTTCATAATGAAGACAGCACTGGTGTTTCTAATTTAATTAACAAAAACCCTGCAGTCCAGTGGTGGGATGGCATGTCTTTGTGAGACAGAATTGGATGTACTCATGGGATATGTAGTTTGTACTCAGTGTACACTTTGAGGTCCAGTGTTGCATCTGTTAAACTAACAGGCTGCATCAAGTTGATGTCAAGGTCGCCAGCAACATGTGATGTGGAGGGTCAAAGGTTAAGGATTTTCCTTTAATCTGTCACTCACAGGAGGATGTAAGGAAGGATAAAACCTGTCTCTGTGTTCTGGATAAAATTCAAAGGCTGGCGCTTCAGTGTTCATACGTTAAAAACATGTGAGTCAGACATGATGATAATATTCATCTCTTCTTTGTCCTGGTGGCTGACAGCAGGTTTGGAGATAATTGAGCAGTTATACATTTTATTCCAAAATAAATAAAAACATTTTCCAGAAGTTTTTCAGTGTTAATCACTCAGCAAACCACGTTTTGACAATAATGTTCACTGAGATGATTTCCTCATATATTTTTATTTTTTTTTATTATTTTGTTTTTTTTCCCAGAGGTCAATCGGAAACCTGCCTCCCATCAATCATTTATTGGAACCACGAGACTGATTTTTCACCAAACCTCCGCAGTCCCTAAGGAGAGGACAGTGACGTCATCACCAAGGACCACAGCGTGTTTTACATAACAGTCTAGACCAAAAACACGCTTTTTAGTTTAAAGTGGGTAAAGTGGGTTTAACTATATTTCTACGAGAATTCAGTTGACATTACTGTGTGCTCTGATTTTATCTTCGGGTCTGTAGTCTTTGGTCTTATCCTTGAACACGTGGTCCGCGTGACGTCATAAACGGAAGTAAACAAACGAAGTAGTCAGAAAGAGCTGCGGAGACGCTATTCTGCCCAAAAATGTCGATTTCCAACCCGAGGCAGGTGTTCCACAACCCGGTAAGATATCCTACGGTTTCGAATTGATCTGTATCATCAGTTTTCATTCTCACTTTCAAGGATAAATCGATTGTTGATCGACGATGCTTCTGTGAAGGGACCAGTTAGCATTTTAGCTCACCTAACAGCCTTAAACAATGACTATCTTATGTTAAACATTCTTTTAAAAATATTCGAAGTGTTTTAAATACACTGAAAAACAACGGAAAGAGTTCGGATTCAATATCATCCGCTAAAAACTTTATTTATAGAAGCTTTGAAGCAAACCTTTGGTACTGCCGCACTGCGGAACACACGTCAGAGAGGCTGGCTTGACATAAGTTTCGGTCACATGAGATGTTGTGTGGGTTAAGCGTGTTTTTGTTTTTTGTTTTGTTTTTTCAGGCTGAATTAGAGACCAGGTATTTAAAGTGTGATTTAAGTATGTTTGGGTTTAGATGTGAACACATCTGAGACAATTTGTAAAATATCTT